AATATTTTTTATGAACCAAGATTTCTTATTGTGAGTCCAAGAGGACTCACAACCCACATTAAATATATATATATCACAAAACATCCCTGAGGTTTACACACCTATCACAAATGGTCCCTGCAAATTTTTTAAATTTAAAATTCATAAAATTTTGATTTTATTTTTTAAATTTTATGAATTTTAAATTATTTTAAAATATACATTGTATTTTAAATACACATGACACTATATTATTTTAGATGTGGGTTCCACATATATGCCACATCAACAAATTAATGGAGTTTTTAAAAATTAATTTAAAAATGAAAAAAAATCAAGGATTTAGGGTTTATAAATGGTCCTCAAGGTTAAAATCCTTATATAAATGGTTTTTTCATTTTTAAATTTTATGAATTTTAGATTATTTTTTTAAAAAAACTTCATTAGTTTGTTGGTGTGGCATATATGTGGAGCCCTCATCTTCAAAAATATAGTATCATATGTATTTAAAATACAATATATATTTTTAAATATTATAAAAAACAAAAACAAAATTTTATGAATTTTAAATTAAAAAATTAAAAAAATTTGCAGGGACCATTTTTGATAGATGTGTTAATCTCAGGGATGTTTTGTGATATGTATATATGCCACGTCAGCAAACTAACGGAGTTTTTGACGGAACCTAACGGCAAGGATCATTTGTGATCACACATACTAACCTTGAGGACCATAAGTGACACAAAAAAACATTAAGGATGCAATCTGATAGTTTCGTAAACCTTAGGGACCTTTTGTGATAATAAGCCTTAGAACTGGTGTCCTTTAGACTTTGTACTAGCCTTAGGATATGATAGTCATGAGCCACACAAATTTGGTGAAAATAATATTTTTTATGAACCAAGATTTCTTATTGTGAGTCCAAGAGGACTCACAACCCACATTAAATTATTGGATTCAAGTTTGTTCAAGCGGGTTGCTGAGAATGGACAATGCGCCCACTTGGATATTCACGAGTACTGCCTAAGCTCTCATAGGAAGCGGTTGCATTTCCACACTCTTATAGGTGAATCCATCAATAGTGCACTGTAATCAAGTACCCCACCTAAAGTCCAACCTCACTATCTACACCACATGGAAGAATTCTTAGTCGTATAAATTTGATAGTGCAGGCCCGATCAACAAAGAACTTGTTCTTACCCATAAGAACCTACACATCAGCTGTTGACCACTGATACTTGCCTAAGTCCCCATCCCCCTCGATGTATCACTCACTTGCTTTCAACATAGTGATTTTGTCAGAAGATCAATCAAGTTCATCTCTGACATAAAAAAAAATCTAGGGATATCACCCCAGTCTCAAGCATGTTGAGCTCGGGCTATTGCAGTTTGACAATCCCGTTCTCTTGCACTCTAGGACCCAAGGAAATTGTGGTCCAAGAAATAAAACTGATTTAAATATCATCATTTTTTACTTTTCCAATATCAAAACACTATTTCAGTTATTAAAAATAAATCAAAAAAACATTTAAGATAAAACTAAGAAACCAAACAACAACCACCATGATAGAGAAAGTGTTAGATCAAGGGAGAAGAGGTTTAGAGAATGGTTAGTAACGTTTAGGATAATAACTTGACTTAGAAAGGAAAACTTTTGAAAAAGTAACAAAGTAATTTTATTTTATTGAAATAGGAAAGTACAAGGCTTAACTAGAGTTGGATACAAGAGTTGGCTGGCTGTAGCTTGTGTCACTTGAATACACAATTGGGCTGCTATTGCTATATATATAGAGTAGCTGAACCGACGTAAAGGATGGCAAATATCTAGTGAAGTCGGTTATTGCATAGTAACCGACTTCTCAAACTGTTTTCCAGCCACTAATTATAATATAAGTCTAGAATAGTCTTAGTTACATTACATTAAATAATTAATGGGATGTTTCTAGTGTAGAGCTCAAATTTGACTTGTCTATGTTCACTCAATTTTTTTAGATTTTTCTATATCATTCAAAAATTTTCTTTATTATTCAATGTACATTACTTTTGAACAGAAAGGCAGAATTATCCACCGCCAGGAGAACAGGACTGTGCAGCCTAAATATCACAATGCATAGACACATACAAAGCTGACCTCTTCCATAAAGGGATATCTGACAAGATATTCTCACAATGCAGACATTTCAAAGTTGGTTTTCTTCCATTAATATTAAGGGACATAGCCTGCATGTCTATTAGAAATATTTCCATTAAGGTACTCATACCAATATAAAACTTGGATGCTTTATGAATCACATTTGAGTCAAAAGCTTCCCCAAAAGGATTTAAGGGTCCATACCTTTACACCAAGTTTGAAAGTAGTACTGCTCTATCCAATAGATAGAATTCTATTCTATTCTACTGTGTAATGCGAGTATATATATGGCTATACAATTGCATGTATTCTAGAACAGTATCGAAAATATACAAGAGGCATATTCCTTTGTTCTTGCTAGCTGTCTTGACTAGCATCTGGATGCGCTTGGGTGTGTTGAACACTTGCATGGGTGTGAGATTGAGCTTGGTTATTACATATGCAGCATGCCATTAGTTCAGATTCAGAAGGCAAGTACAAAAACGCATCCTTCGATTCTTGGATTGAGCTTGATTATTTGTGCCCATTAATATTCTGGCACAAGCTCCTAATACTTGTATGATGTATCGTTTTGATGTTTTATATGAAATTGATGTTTTGCTTAGTTGTGTTTCTCTAACTTAGCTCCAATTTTTGGTTATTAAAATCCTTTTGTTTTGATAATATCACAAAATTTGAAGAATTTCTGTTGAATATGAACCATGGTGGAATGAAAACAATTGATTCATATTGAAATAATTTAAAAACAATCGGGGTGGATACTTGATGAATTCGAAAGGCAATTTAAAAACATATAATTTTGTGTTCTTTGACAACTGTCTAAGCTGTTGATAGACATATTGAATCACTTGTCAAGACAGATTCGTGCTCTAAACTTCTGCCCCAAATGATGGATTCGTGCTCTATTAGCAATAGAAACTCCTATAAAGAAAACACTTCTACATCTGTGGCAATTACTATAGAGCACGGAAATTTTGCGCCCTTAATAATAAAGAGCACAAATAAGAATTGTGTATGAAGCCAATTATTATAGTAGTGATGGTACGTACCTGGACCTAGAATATATTATGGGGATTTCAATACTTGGATTAGAGGTATTATATTTATACCTATTGAGTTGAATATGTCCCTTACCTGCAATGGAGGTACATGATAAATCATTTTCAACTTTATCTATTGGCTAGGTATTAGGTCAATAGGTAATATGCGGAGTATATAGGTGCATCAAAGAGATATTTTACGGGTTTGCTAGGTACGGAGTTGAATTTATCTTTCCTGGATATTAGGTATTTTACGAATATGAAAAATTATGAGAAACAATTAAAACAACTTGATTAACCATGCCTATAGGTAGCAAGGACAAAACTCAACCTAACGACAAATAAAACAGAGAAGAAAAAATTATGATATATGAGTGAGATATTGAATTACCAACGAAGAAAAATGTCAACATTAGAATCACTGGCGTTGGCAAATATATTTGAAAAAAAATACAATGTACACAATGTATAGGTTGCAACTTGCAAGAGTGAAACAATACAGCCGACATCACTTGCTCAAAACAACAAACTGAAGTTGATTATAAATGTTCAGAATTCAATAAATAGAACTGCGATTAAATTCAAATAAAAAAGAGTTATTTACACTAACACCCCTTGAGGTTTTCGTCTTTTTCATAAAAAAAATTTATTTACACTAAAACTCATTTTCATTGATTTTTCATCCAAAGATTGATGATTAAAATATTCTCCAAATGACAAAGTTGGCCTTTGAGATTAAATTGCATATACTTCATTGAGGTTAATTTTGTCATTTGCATAAATTTTTTTAATGAAATCATCAAATTTTGGACAAACAATCAGCGAAAAGGGATTTTGTGAAAACACAAGAAATCTCAAGAAGTGTTAGTGTAAATAACTCAATAAAAAATAACAAATCAATAACTTGCCCCTTTTAAACCGGAGGGACATAATAGGAACAAAAAATAGCCAAAGACAAATATGACTTATCCCATTAAGGAAGGTAATCCTACATAAAGAATTTGGATCAACAAACAATATTGTGTGGACTAGAACCACATTGGGCGATTACGTTTTTGGACTTATGGCAAATTGGGCCAAAAAAATCAGGGGAAGTATGATCATTTTCTAACATGTGTGTTTATTCTTCCCGCATGTGTTTATAGCAAGCTGATTGTGCTTTTAATATTATGCGTGATTTACTTTAGAGAAATGATTTTGTCCATAAACATGTAATGAAATATTTCTTAAAGTAAGGAATCAACATATTTTGCTTTGTTGAGCTTGAGCATTTTCCTTCAATCATTCATGTATGATTTAAAACAAACTAAAAGCTTACAACTGAACTAAACCGCGTTGAAAAAAAACTGTGTATCGAAAAGTTCCGGTTCTCAACCCCCCAAAAAAAAAAAAAAAAACCTGGACCGGTTTGGTGGAGGTTCCACAGAGTTACAATGGGACATGTTGCACTTGATTCCATCACAATAAGCCATAGAGAAGCTTACATAATTTTTTTTTATATATAGAAAAACTCAGAAATTTAAGGGAAGTAGTTCTCTAAAATAATAAAATTTACCATAAGGGAAAAAAAAACATAAGAAAAGAGAACCATGGATTTAATAATGTTACGGAGTTGATGACAGAGGCAATGGCGCATAAAATTATAGCTGGGTTCCCTTTTAAAATGGTCAACATTTAACAGATGATTTCTAAAGACATTATATACTCCGAAATTTTGGAAATTATTGTAGTGGAAATGAAAACGATTAAATGTTTGGAAATTATTGTTGTGGAAATGAAATTATATCCTCCGAAATTTTTGGGTAATCTTTTTCTGATTTTTGTTTCCATGTTGCAACAGGGTTTAACACTTGGGGTGTAAGTTAGTTTTTAACATTTAGAGTTTAGGGCGTTTGATATTGTATCAGACATAGAAGCAGAAAAGAAACATGAATCGATTTGGTGCAAGAAGGCCAAAGCAATCAAACCAACAGCTAGAGATTCACAAAAGATGAAGCAAGTTTTGCACGCTCACTCTTGTAGTCACTCCATGTTCCTTGTGAAAACAAGCGAAGCACATCAAGGTTCACAGAAGTCTCTGTTCCTTCAAGCTGCAAATATTACAGAGTCAAAATAACTATTCCTACAATGACATTCCTAGTATGAAAACCCAATAACAATAATAAACAATTAAATCCCTAACTAAACATTCAAATTCTCCATTCATTCTTAGTTTCTACCACTACAGAGAAGAAAAGGAAAATTCACAACAAAACAGAGAAGGAAAGAGAAAGAAAAGAAACCTGAAGAACATTAGGAACGGCGAGAATCTCAGAGAAGGCGAAGAGAGAAGGGTGCGAGGTGGCTTCGGCGACGAGGGAGCCGAGGGCAGAGCCTTCGAGAGACGAGGCTTGCTTCACGAAATGATCGATGATCTCTTCTAGCTTTTGCACAATGTCCATCTCTAGAGCACAGAAGTAGGATCCGCAATAACGGAAAAAAATTAAAATAAAAAATGTATAGAAGACGGTGAAAAGTTCAACAGTGGAAAGTTAGGTTTTCGGTGGACTGAATTTAGGAGATAAGAGAGGGGTTTTGGAGTGAGGGAATTGGAAAGTGGTTTTTAGGAGAGAGACAGAGAGACAGAGAGACAGAGAGAGAGAGAGAGGACATCTGAGAAACCACCACCCCAATAAAAGCTGCATAGACTGATTCTGTGTGCAGACCAAAAAAAAAAAAGACTGATTCTGTTTGAACCCAACGATTGCTCTCTGTTATTATTATTATTTTTTTCGTTTGTTCACAGAACAATATGCGATTGCTGCTCTGTTGGGCCATCTCCCAGCAGGCAAACTCCAAAATTGGGTTTTCAGCCCAAAACTGGTATTTAAGAAATGCAAAAGTTTGGCCGAAATTCAAGACCACAAACCAGATGGACTGGAAATTTGTAAAGCCCAGTTTTTACAGCCCACTGGACCTCTTGGTTTGTCGCGTAGTGCCATCATGAGTGGACACTCTTGTTTTAGCTTGGTACGAGTGCAGTTTTCCTGTTACTATTTCCCCTGTGCCCCCATGTTTCTCTTCTTATATTTTTGACACGTGTTACATGACTTAACAGAAATTTAACACTGTTAACTTTATTGAAAAAAAACAAACTCCATTTCCTCGCCTCATCTATTCAGCAAAAACCTTGCCTTTGTTTTTGCTGCTCCAGACCAAGTTCATCAAATCCGCCATGGGTTTGTTTATGGCTCCATGGGATGATGGGACCGCAAGTTATATATAATCTCCACCACCACACCCATTCATCAGACCCATCATCTCACTGTGTCCATTTGCTTCAAGAAACTCTTAAACCCATATAGATAAAGTGCTTCCATAAAAGATTTGTCCCAAGGAAACGTCAATCGAGCACTGCTCTGCTTTGAAAGAGAGGGAGATTGAGAGGGACGCAGAGAAATCAAAAGGGGGTGGGGGGAGAGAGAGAGAGAGAGAGAGAGACTGACAGAGAGAGAGGTAGAGAAAAGGAGGCTTTGCCGGCGGTGAGAAGGAGATGGGGTTGCTGAGGATTGGGGGTGGTGGGGGGGCGTTCTCTCTTGGGTCTTTTTTTTCCTTCAATTTTTAGTTTTCATTGTTTAATTTAATTAAACTTAACACTGTTATCTTAGAGTTAAATGGAAGGACAAATGTCAAAAAGTTAGATGGGTGACAGGTGGGCACAGGAGAAATGGTAACAGGAAAACTGCACTCCTGGAATACCGTCTTGTGGTATAACTCGTCCACATGTCATAATAAGAGTAGATGACTATGTTAAAATTTCCCACTTTTAGGGTACCTCGACACATTATATCATACAACCATACTTTAGTACCACACTATAATTACTTGCGCCTAGCCTTCTCCATTTAAACCATCCAGATTTCATTTAAGTACTTTTATGAAGAGGTGTTCTAAAGTCAGTTTTTCGGTACCTCGACACATTATATCATACAACCATACTTTAGTACCACACTATAATTACTTGCGCCTAGCCTTCTCCATTTAAACCGTCCAGATTTCATTTAAGTACTTTTATGAAGAGGTATTCTAAAGTCAGTTTTTTGACAATTGATGCTTGTAAGGTCTACAATAGATCAATGGTCAAATTTCGTAAACAAACGACAATACTTTTTAGTTGAAAAGAACAGTTGTTTGCACTTCAAACTAGTGATCATATACCCCTTCTTTATAAATAAAAAGAAACATGTGAATGTTTTTGGTCAGAAAACAAATGACTATACGATAACTATTTTAGAGTGCCAACAACGACTCTCTTATTTCATCATATAACTAAGGATATAAGGGTGTAGAATCCAACATGTAACATAGAGGTGTTATAATTTATAGACAACTTAATATGTTGTACAGTCTGAGCCACAAGATGGGGATGGGGAAAAACCAACCATGGTTTGAAATTTACATATACTTTGATCTTTGGTCTTTGATTTGATCTTTGCTATGCATCAAGAAATAAAAAAACTCGGACCAATAAGGACACAAAAGGCAATTGCCATGAAGTATTTGTGATCTTTTGCTTGTAATTGCCATACATACATGCAATTTTCTTTTTTACAAATTTATTTTATTCAACGATGCATGCGATGCCAAGGGTCGTACCATAAGCCATCACACATATACACATGATAAGGAATACATGCAACATAAAAACAAGCAAAATATAACATCAAATGCATAACCTTATAACAAACTTATGAATTTCTGCATATCACTCTACCTTTTTCTTGTCATTGACCTGATCATTTCTACAGTCTCAATAAATAACTCCTTCCTCCTTGTGATCACAATGTCCGCAAGAACCCCTCCCACAACCAACCCACTCCCGATCCCCGCCAAAACAAATTTCCAATCAAATCCAATTCTAGAGCCCGAATCGTTTTCTTCTCTGCTTGAAGGTGGCAGTTGAGGGGTCTCAGCATTTCCACATTTCTTAGGCAGTGGATCCCCACACAAGCCAGGGTTTCCTTCATATGAAGAGCTTTTGAACAAAGTTAGTTGGGTTCCATGTGGTAAAGCATGCATGGAAGTGAAAATGTGTGAGAGTTATAACTTATAGATTGGACTCAAATTATTGAGCAATAGGAGCACGGGACTAAATTTCAAACAAGATGGGGATGGGGAACAATCATGGTTTGAAATTTGCATCTACTTGCAAGAACATGTTCTTGACTTCAAGTGAGTTCATTTTGACTGCATCAATTACCCGAAAAATAGGGCATTCAGGACATATGAAGTTTCCATCAGGATCACTATACTAGTACCTTATTTTCAAACTTAAGAAGTTAATTTTTCTTGAAGTCAAGTCATCATCCAATTACCTAATAGTACCGTACTTAATCAAATGTCTCTTTGGCCATGCCATCTGAGCTTTGGTCTTCGCTATAATCACTCTGGATGCTACCCCTCTGTTAACGTCAAGAACAGATAATCATCACAAAAATTTTCAGCTAGGAAATTAACAAAAAAGGGTTGGTCTTTAATTGAACAAGTTGAATTCCAAGAGTGGCTGAGTATGTTCACAAATTATATTGCTGAAGGTAATTTTGTTATAATACACTTAAAAAAAAATTAATAGTATATAGAAAGTAATGTTATCTTGCTGAAGTAAATCTGAACCACATTTTCAATTAAGATTTGACTTAATCAATGATTCATATTTACCGAAATAGTCTGACAAGAACATATTTGTCTTCTGAATTGTTGATTTTCCAAATCTTCGTTAAAATATCATATTTGAAAACATTAAAACAACAAATTGTGATGAAATAAATGGACGAACATACTGCTTTCAAAGAACCACTAAAATGACGACCATTTAATTAAATGGTTAAATGTTGTCTGATTCGGGTGATTTTTTACACATATAATCTATGAATTAGAAGTTGTAAAATAAACGTTTAAATCATTAAATTAATAATGCGAACAAAAAAGTTTGTACTTGTGTAGCTTAGCCAAGTTGGCTAGCGCAGAATGACGACCATTTAATTAAATGGTTAAATGTTGTCTGATTCGGGTGATTTTTTACACATATAATCTATGAATTAGAAGTTGCAAAATAAACGTTTAAATCATTAAATTAATAATGCGAACAAAAAAGTTTGTACTTGTGTAGCTTAGCCAAGTTGGCTAGCGCAAATGTGCTCCCCACTATGCATCTAAGTTCAAATCCCCCACCCCATAGTTTAGATTAGACTAAAATAGACTATTTCTTGTATAAAAAAAAAAGAAAAAAAAGTTTGTACTTGGGTAGATTCCTTTGCCTTTCGCAAGTAGCAGCAACTATTGTAGGTATATTCATATGAGGCGTTTGGAAAGCTTCAATTTCATTTCATCAAATGTTCTTTGTGCTCAATTAATGATTAAAATCATTTTATTACACACAGAAAACTGCAAACATTATGAATGCAGAGAATCCAAATACAGAAATACATGCATTAGTCTAATACCTTTATTTGGATTAATTACAGCATAACCACAAGTACAACTATAAAGATAGAGCAAGGTTACATGGAAGGAGAAGCAAAAACAAGAAAACAACTCCAAAGGCATGAACTTATAACAAACAATACTTCTGCATCCCCCACTCTACTTTTTCCATATCATTAGCCTCACCATTCCAACGACCCTAAGAAACAACTCCTGCCTTCTTGTGATCACAACATCCGCGAGAACAACTCCCACTACAAACCCACTTCCAATTCCAGCCAAAACAAATTTCAAATCAAATTCAACCATTCCAGTTGAGCCTGAACCATTATCTTCTTCAGTTGAAGGTGGCCGTTGAGGGGCCTCTTGATTTCCGCATTTGTTTGGTAATGGATCTCCACACAATCCAAGATTTCCCTCATAAGAAGAGCTATTGAAGGAAGTAAGTTCGGTACCTTGCGGTATAGGACCGGTGAGATTGTTGTGAGACACATTAACGTTCTCAAGGAATGAAAGCTGCGTCAGTTGTTGGGGGATCTGCCCTGAGAGCTTGTTTTGCGAAAGGTCCAACGATTCAAGTTTCCTTAAGTTCCCCAAGGATGATGGAATAGAACCTGTGAGAATGTTGTTGGAAATATTGAGTGAGTGAAGCTCCTTAAGGTTCCCAACGAATTCTGGAATCTTACCTTCAAATTTGTTGCTTGAGATATCAATCGCTGCAAAGCCTTCTAGAATCTTCGAATAGTACAAATCCAAACCTTTAATTGCTAATGTGATTGAGCAAGAAACACTCCGCCCAACATCAAAACCATTGACTTTATAGCCTACTTCTGCGTACATGTATGTTGACTTGTTTACAGTAATATCTGGAAACAAAGCTGGAATCTCACCAGTGAAATTGTTGAAAGACAAATCAAGAATGTGTAAATTGGGGAAGTCAACATTTGTTCTAGACTGTCCTATTACACCGTTGAAGCGATTATGGCGCATTGCCAAAAGTTTTAACTCTGGGAGAGTCCCCAACCAAATGGGAAAAACATCATGAATTGATTGTTTGACAGAACCAGATACTCAAGCATCACACAATTCACCAATGACCTCGGTAATTGCCCCTACAATTGGTTATGACTAACATCAATCATCCTCAAACTGCTTCTATTGTTGAATGATTGAGGCATCATTCCATGAAAAGAGTTGCTTCCAAGAAGTAAAAGGATTAGACCATCACTAAATTTTCCGAGACACTGAGGAAGCGTGCCACTCAAGTTATTTTTCGACAAGTCAAGGTACAGAAGAGAATTCATATTGCAAAGCAATGGTGAAATTTCTCCAGTAAATTTGTTGTTAGTGGCTCCATATTCTAGCAAGGATGGTGGACGGATTTGTAATCGTCCATGAAAAGTGTTGTTTGAAAGCCTCAATCAGAGCAAGTTAACCCAGGGTATGACAAATGGAAGTTCTCCAGAAAGGAAGTTATCAGAAATATCCACTAATACCAGAGTTTCCTTGCTTATGTTCCACATCCAGTTTGGTACTTCGCAATGGATTTTGTTTCCTGACATTTGCATCCGCTCTAACTTTGTCTGATTTCTTAGGAAATATGGGAACTCTTTTAAATTGCATGTATTCAAATCCAGAACGGTGAACTGTTGAACAGTTACGTCCATAATATTTGAAAATTGTTCAGTAACAAATTCCAAATTGTTACTACCCAATTCAAGATGGTAGAGATTTTGTGCCTTCTGAAACATTCGAAACTCCACTACACCGGTCAGGTGATTTGACTGTTGACAAATGATCTCAAGATTGATGAGATTGGAAAATGAGGCTGGAATTGAACCATTCAAATCATTAAAAGCAAAACATAGGTACTCTAGTTTGCTAAAGTTACCTAGCCAAGATGGAATTGAACCAGTTAAATCACTCGTAGCAATCCTAAACACAGTCAATTGGGTAAGGTTTGCCAAAGGATCAGGAATTGGACCTCCAAAGTTGCTTGCTGAAATGTCTAGATAAGTAAGCTGTCTAAGATTACCGAGTGCAGATGGAAACAACGCTTTTGTAAAATTGCTGAATGAATTAAGCTTTTCAATCGAAGAAGGTATTGTTCTGAAAAACATAGTAAACCCAACTTTCAGTACGGTGAGACTACTTTGATTAAATTCAGGAAAATATCCAGTGAGATCTTGATTGTATCTCACACTAAGAACTTTTAAGTTCTGTAGATTGAAGATTCTCAATGGGAATTTGCCAAACAGATCACAGTTCCTGAGTGCAATCGATATCAAAAATGATAAATTTGTCAAGGAGTCGGGCATGGTCGAGGATATGTTAATGACTTGAAGAGAAAGAGTTTCTAGACTAGTTAAGTTTTGAACTAGACTTCTCATATCGGATGGTTGAAGTTTCAACAATCCGTGAGGATCATAAGAAGGTCCATCAAAATTGCAACACAGATCAAGGTATGTCAACTTGGATAAGTGTGAGATTTCAGATGGGACTTGACCAGAAAAGACAGAGAAAGAGAGGTCAATATGAGTGAGTCTTGGAAAGTTTCTTATGCTAGATGGAATTTGAGAGTAATTGAAGTTATTGTCAGAGAGGGTTAACCTTTGAAGATGCACTAGGCTGAACAAGCTACTATTGGAGTTGAAAGAGCCGTAGAGATAACTGCTGTTGAGATTAAGGCCAATAACATAACCCGTCGTCACACTCCACGCCGTCCCACGAGCAGCAACTGCTATTTCCTCCTACAGCTGGTTTCCATGATGAAACCTTTGGATAAGCACCTTTAGAACGTGAAGAAAATTCTTTTGTCCTCTTGAGAGTTCACATTTAAGGGCTTGTCCCTCTTGTTGTGAATTAGAATCAACTCACTCCCCTTTAGACCTTGTTGTTGATGGACTTTGGATAAACTCAATGATGGATGAGTCTTACACACACACAGAAAATTAACCAAGCACAAATGACACAAGTGTTTATAGAGGTTCAGCAAATTTTCCTACATCCTCTTTTGGTGATCCCCTTGAGAAATTTTACTAGTGAAGATAGGTTACAACTTTGGTTTACATAGACAACCCCTTTAGAACACTACCCTCACAATCTGTTTCTGTCACAGCCTTTGCTCAACACCTTGATACACTTGAGAACTCTCTCTTCTACTTGACTCTCTAGTTCCAGCTACTTTGCCTCTCTCTCCTTGCTGTCTTGCTTCCTCTTCCCTCAAATACACAATCCCTTGGACTTGAGAAAAGTATCATCTCTCTTTCCCACGTTCTGCCCTTGTTTTACTGAAATAGATCACACCTTGGGCAGACAAAGGGCTAGACAATGACAGCTACAAGTTCAGCTACCCTATAAAGAACCATAGGGTAGGTGCTCCTTGAAACAAGCCAATATCCTTCCTTAATTTGCTCTCTTTGCTTCCCAGCAACTTGCCACCTTTTATTTAAGTCTGAAGTGACTTAAAAATGTCCTTGTAAGTGGGTAGCAAACGATAGCACACTAAAGAAACTGTTGAAAAACAGTGAAGATTCGAAACAGCACATGTTGGGCGACCAGTCGCTTTTGCACAAAGTCTCCAGACTTCGAATTGTCTTCTTGCGACCAGTGGGCGACCGGTCGCTTGCTACCTGCGACCGGTCGCTCGTCGACTTTGCTCCAGACTTCGAATCTTTGTAAAAACGACCGGTTGCAAATGTCCTGCGACCGGTCGCTGGTCCAAAACTTAGTATCCTTTATGCGAGCCAATTTTCCAACACCTCCATCATTGATTGTTTTGCTTTTGGTCGGAAATTTGCTGTAAGGAAGACTTCCTGAGGAGCTTGGCACTTTAAATAATAGTAAATAAAAGAAACAAAACATCTGTTTGTTTTCTCTTCCCTCTGGGTTTCTTTACCCTCTGTTTGGATGAGGTTTGAAATTTACTTAAAAAGTCAGGAGTTTAAAAGGAGAAATTGACAAATTCCTTGTTTGATAACTTAAACTCGGAATTTAGTAAACGAAGTGTATAAAAAAATCGTGGAAATTGGGGCATCAAATTTCCGAGTTTAATTTTCACTAAAATAAGAGTCATCTCACAATTTTCATAGTGCAATTTACAAAATGCAACATATATAAATCCAAACACTGAAATCTTAAATTGCCAGAAATTAAAATGATGGAAAACTAAATTACATCATTTTAGAATTCTATGTAATTTTCAATTCTTCATCCAAACGAAATGAAATCAGATTTTGACGAAAAAAAAGACATTGTAATATACTCTATTTTTATATCATATTCGAAAAGCGCGGAAGTGTGATAAAAAGAACAAATTCTTTGATTTGTCATATATTCTAAAAGCAAAAGCATTGTAATATAAGAAAGAAAGAACAGTACGTAGCTATGGGAATATCTTGATGTACACCACGTCAATGAATGTATATTTCAGTGACCACTCAAATATAGCAATTATGCCCTACAAATCTAACACTAATAAGAAAAATAGACGCACTATTATTACATTTTGGGTTGATTACAAATCTCTTGTAGAAACAAAAGCGCCCTTACATTACATGTTACATGTTGTGATTGCATTTTACTACCTCAGATTTCATCTATTATTTTGATGAAACTTTCTAATTGAATTTGATTGCAGACCAAATTAAAATGACAAGAAATAAAATGAAAAGTTAGTCAAATTACGGAGATCAAACATATAATTTAGTATTTCTTTAGGGGCTCATTCTTCATTTTCTACGTTCTTAATTATTTTTGTCAAGTTTTAATCAAGTCAAAATTCAAGGATCGGTTGACGGTCCCTATAAAGTTTCACCTAAATAGGAAATCGTTTAGGCATTTGATTATGACCGTGAACATTTCATTGTTTCTCTTTTTAGTATAGAGTTTTGTGAACTGCAGGATGTTAATTTGGTTACTGAGAAAAATTTGGAAAATCCAGGGTTAATTTTGTTTCTGTATTTTAAGCATTTTGAAATGAAGAGAAAAGAAATAGGAGATATAGGAATGAAGGGATGCGGCGGAGAGAGTTGCATTGGGTTAGGGTGCAGGTGATTGAATTGCACCCAATGTACTCTTTGCTCTTTTGCAATTAGCAGCAACTATTGTAGGTATATTCATGTGAGGCTTTGGAAAGCTTCAATTTCATTTCATCCAATGTACTCTGTGCTCAATTAATGATTAAAATCATTTTATTACATTATGAATGCA